GACACACTTGAAGCTCGGACTTGGGTGGGAGGGAGGGTAAGAGCATCATACGTAACCTAATCATCTATACCCCCATAACATGCTGAAATAAAAAAAAAAGAAAAAGAAAAAAAAAGTATAATCCATAAAAGAAAAAAGTTGGAAAAATTGGACTGCATCAAAATAAAAAAAAAAGTTCTTCAAACAATATTGTTTAGAAGATAAAAAGAAGCTACAGACTGGGAGAAAATATATGCAAATCACATATCTGATACAGGATTTTTATTCATAGTATATTAAAAAAAACTCAAAATTCAATAAGAGTACAAACAATCCAATTTTTTAAAGGGGGCAAAAGATCTGAAAGGACACTTCTCCAAAGAAATAAACACGAAAAGATGCTCAGTGTCATTAGTGTTTGGTAAAATACAAATCAAAACAATGATGAGATACCACTTCATGCCTATTAGAATAGCTAAAATAAAAAATACTGAAAACATCAAGTACTGGTGAGGATGCAGAGCAAATGGGGCTCTCATGCATTGCTGGTGGGTATGCAAAAATGGTACAACCACATTGGAAAAGAATTTGCAGGTTTCTCATTAACTTAAATACACTTACCATATGACCAAGTAACCCCAATCCTTAGGTATTTACTCAAGTTAAACTAAAAATTTACGTTCACATAAAAACCTGTACATGAATGTTTACAGTGGCTTTATTCATCATTGCCAAAACCAGGAATCCGTGGTACCACCATTAAATGGAATACTATTTAGCAATTTAAAAATGAATCATTGATATACACAACGATATGGATGAATCTCAAATGTACTATGCTTAGTAAATGAAGCCAGACTCAAAATGCTATATATTCAATGCCTCTGTTTATATTACATTATGGAAAAGAAAAAAAAATATGGGGATAGAAAGTAGAGTGGTGGTTGGCTTGGGGTAAAGAGAGCACTAACTTTTAACGGGAAAACTTTGGGGTTAGGGAACTGTTCTATATTTTTATTTTGGTGGTACTTACAAGACTTACCATTTGTCGAAACTTGCAGAACTACATACAAAAAATGTTTTTTTTTTAAATTAAGCTTTAAATTTTGAGATAATTGCAGATTCACATGCAATTACAGGAAATACTACAGGAGATTCCATTTATTCTTTACCCAGTTTCCCCCATGGTAACATCTTGCAAAACTGTAGTATGATAACACAGTCAGGATACTGATGTTGAGGTGGTCAAGATACAGAATAGTTCCATCACCAAAAGGGATCAGAAGGATGAATTTTACCATATGTAAATTATACCTTAATTTTGAAAATAAAAAAGCTGTAAGCCCTGTTTTGCTCTTTTGCAATAAAATATCACCATTAGCACTTAATTTTAGGGCCCCTCAAAACTGAATTTCTAACCATGGTCAGTATTTTCATTTAAAAAATCACTTTTCCTTGTATGATAGCTTAATGCATTATAACTTAAATTTCAGTATAATTTTTAAAAATCTTTTCAGTGTGCCACTATGTTCTTTCTCCATATTTTGAGACTTCTAACCTCTGTACATTTCATTTAGCAAGTTAAATGTAGTAAGAGCTAGTCTTCAAGATCAGTGCAGCTGAACATAATATAGTTTGTAGAGAAGAATACTGGCTGCTCTGACCATTCGAGAGAGAAGGGAGGAAAGAGAATTTTCTTATCCTTCCATTACCTTTCAGAGATTTATGTCAATCCATAGTTTCTTTCCTATACTATTTATGACAAAACTGATATTTTAACCCTAGAATTTGCTCAGCAATCAAGTCATAAATAGTTTACAATTATAGAACTAGCTACAAGATTAAACAAAACATACATTACACCAAACCACTAATTTGAAAAGAAAATGTGGAATTCAACTATATAAAGGAAAGGGTTTCTTTGGGGAGGGCTTGAGGGATGGTATTTTTACATCTTTGTAATCTTAAATGACTGTTTTAAAGGCTTTAAATTTTAAAAGCATACCCAGAACACAGTAATTTGATGAGTATTTACTATAAGTAAACTCAGTGATTAATTTATAAGCAGTCATAAAACTAATTAAATTTTTTTCTTATGTACATATTTTTCTCTTAAATACTCAGTTCAAGTACTGTTTGATTTACATTTCTTACCATTGTACATTTTTTCTTCCGTCTATTTACAGATGTTACCCCTGAATTATATCCCTCAGAAAACATACTACAGCAACTATGGACAGTTCAAATCAATTATGTTTTCAAGTTATAGTTTTAACAAAATATTAAATATCTCTTATAAATAGGCAAGTCATATTATATAGATTTTATATAGACTATGGGAGGGATGAAGGGTTCAGGAAAAAAATTAACTATTAAGGACAATATAAATAACATATTAGCAAATCTGCAAATACTTAGGGGTATCCACTCATTCTACTGATCTTTTGCTATACAATCATAATCTCAGTATGAGGCCAATCAGGCTCAAAACACAGTTATAGCAGGAACCTTTCTATAGTCCATTGCCATTCCAGAGAGGCCTGCTAAACATTAGATCCATTCCTTATGTCTGGAGGATTTCTAAAGTGGACAGGTAAAAAAAAAAAAAAAAGTATTGCCATTTCCCTAAGATTATTCTGAGAAAACAGAGAATGCTGGGGAAGACCCTGCCTAGATCAGACATTCCTAAATCACTGCAGCCCATACACAGCCTACTGGTATCAATGACAAATAGAGATCAGTCTGGTACTTTTGACTGTAACATTCAAAATAGAAGGAAGGAGACAG